CATCCAATCCAGGTCTTACTACGGGCCTCTCAGCCAATCTGACGCGAAGGACCAATTTGACCCAGTTACGGGAACATCCAGGTCTTACTACGGCACTCTTAGCTAATATGAGACCTGAATTGGTCGGGCGACTCAATGTGGTTTAATTACGGGGTTTTGATTCCGTTTCAGGTTGTCCTGTTCTCTGTGCCATTTAAGGGAACGTTATTTTCGATAAAAAGATCTCTTAAAGGTAAAAATGGAGAAAAAAGCTCTGACGACGGAAGCCAATTTTGGATCCAAGACGAAAGATTGAAAAAAATTCAGAATTAAGGTTAAGAAATGAGAGGGGAGAGGGGAGAGTTTTTTTTTGAAAAGGATCAGAGAGCTAGCTGTATGCTTCGGGCAGGGAAAAAAGACAGAGAATCGGATTTTTTTTTTTCTTCATAGGGTTTTGGGAAGACTGAGGCAATCGTTGCTGAAGTCAGTGTTGTAATGGTGAATTGGGATTTTTAATGAAGTGAGTTTGATTACTCTTGACTGTTTTGTGAAATCGAGTTACGTCTGTGATTGAAGAATTAAAAGGATATCTATAGGACTGAGTATGCGGAGTGAATGAAATTTATCGGGTTAATCTCACAAGACAGTCAGTGGATACAAGATGGTGAGTATAAAGCAGTATCGAAGATTAGCAGTTTGGGTTGTTCGGGGTTCTCTGCAACATCTAGAGACCTACCGGCTGGGGCAAAAAGGACTTCCGCAAGCAGTCGAAGGGCATCCGTATAGATTTACGGTGTATTCTTGCAGTCATTTATATTCCAACAGTTAATAACCGATAGACTGCTTGAATATTGGCAAATCTCTATACTACCTTCTACAGCCCGACACCCGGCACGTTCTTGAGCAAAAAAGCACGTAATACGACAACGTTTACGTATTCTTCAAGCTTGTCACGACTTCCCAACAATAGGACATTTTGGATATAATAAGACTTTAGAGCTGATATCTAGGGATTTTTGGTGGCTTCAAATGTGGAAGGCAGTCAAAGAGTTTGTACAATCATGTGATATTTGCACAAGATCAAAAACTCCTCGTCATCGACCTTTTGGACTTCTTCAGCCATTATCCATTCCAGAACAACCATGGTCTTCTGTTTCTATGGACTTCATCACGGATCTTTCAATCTCAGGTTCTTATGACTCTATATTCATGATAGTAGATCATTTTACTAAGATGGCACATTTTGTACCATGTACAAAATCTATCACATGTAAAGAAACAGCTAAACTCTTTCTTGACAATATCTATCACTATCATGGATTATCCAAGGATATTATATCAGATAGGGGAACTCAATTTATATCAAGATTTTGGCGGACTCTTTTTCAAGATTCTTAAAGTGGATATAAAACTATCTTCGGCATTCCATCCTCAAACTGGTGGACAAACGGAGCATGTTAATCAAGTTTTAGAGCAATATTTAAGATGTATCATTAATTACCAACAAGATCATTGGATAACTATTTTGCCATTGGCAGAGTTTGCTTACAATAACATGATACATTCTTCTACAAAACAAATACCTTTCTTTGCTAATTATGATTATCATCCATCGCTTAATACTTTTGACTTTTCAAAAGTTGATAATCCTGCTGCGAAAGATTTGGCAATTCATTTATCAGAGCTACATGCAACGATGAAGGCGCAGTTAAAAGAGGCTCAAGAACAACAAAAGGTCAATGCGGATGTCTATCGAAAGGAACAACCATCATTCCTCTTGGGTGATAAGGTATGGCTACTTCGTCGTAATATCAAGACCACTCATCTTTGTGACAAGTTGGACTATCAAAGACTTGGACCATTTTCTATTTCTACACAAATCAATCCAGTTGCATATCGTTTACATCTATCGGAGTCAATAAAAATCCATCCAGTATTCCACGTGTCTCTTCTTGAACCATACAAGATAGTGGACATACCAAGAAGACGACAAGCTCCACTTCCTCCTATAGAAGTGGACAATAATAAAGAGTTTGAAGTAGAAGAAGTCTTAGATTGAAGGCGGCGCCGAAATAAATTAGAATATCTTGTCCATTGGCGCGGATATGATATTAGTGAACGCACATGGGAGCCAATAAAGAATCTTGCAAATGCAGCAAAGTCGATGGAGGCTTTTCATCGACGACATCCATCAAAATCAAGATGAAAACCTTCTTTACAAAAAAAACAACATCTAAGCAAGATAACATTCTACTTTCAATTCTTGTTCGTAGCTTCTTTGTAGTAGTGACGCTCAGGAGATGGAGAACCAACAACCAGCGGATTCGACTCAAGGGCCTTCATTTGCTCACTTGCCAGATGAGACATTACGATTTTCACAACCATCAAGATGATGCAATCGAGATGAAGCTTTGATTAGACGCTGCTTTGATTTCATAGGTGTCTTTAATTGACTTTTTGGATTAGAAACGTGGTCAACAAGTTGGCCATGTGCCACACATGTTGTTAGCTTGAAGATCAAGCTAACTATGTGGCCCACACATAAAAAAACTTGCCTTGTAAGTCAAGGCATGTGTTCTACAAAGTCAACACATATTAGAGGTCCTATAGAACGTCGCCACGTAGCCCCTAGTTAGATAGTATATATAGAGACAAGAGTGAAGGCTTCTTCACTCTTGTCAATTCCTTTCTTGCTTCTAGTCTAGTTTCAAGGGTCTCTAGTTTCTTTGTCTTTTGGCAATAGCCATTCCAGTTTTTCTTTCAATATACATACTTGTTTATTTATATTTTGTTACCTTTCTTTGAGTGAAGGCTCACTTGTCTGAATTGTTTTTTCATCGAGTTCTTGTCCTTGACATTGCCATGCAACTCATAGTTTGATAGTATATATAGACGCAAATGTAGAGCTTTCTTGATTCTTGTCAATGCTTTTCTAATTTTTAGTCTTATTTCAAGACTTTCTAGTCTTCTTATCTTTGGTAATAGTCAATTTAGTTTAATATATTATCATCTTTGAATGATTTTTAAGTCTTTTTGAGTGATACAAGAATATATTGGGATTTTTTTCTTTCATGATTCATATCTTTGATATGAAGTAGAATATAAACAAGATCTTATAATATAAAACTAAGTATTTACAATAAATGAATTTTTTTTGTAGAATGAAAAAAAATAGAAAATTATTTAAATGAGATTTTTTCTTACTATAAATTTTATATAAAAATAAAAAAAATATTAAAATATATAAAGATAAAAATACTAAAAAATAGTTTAGTGCTAATATTAATAACTAGATTGTTGATAAACTCAAAGTTAAAAATTATTTTAAGAAATAGAATAAATATAAGTGAGATTTTTAATTTTAATTGAATTTTGTTGTTACTATTGCTTTAAAAATAAATCATTGCTTAAAACATAAATAAGATTTTTTAATAGTTGATTTTAAGAAATTAATTAAAATTTTAATTTTCTTTTTTAATTCTAATAATATCGTTTGATTATGATGATAATTCAAATTTTTAAATGTCATTAGTAATTTGTGTTTTTAATTTGTTGTTATTGTAGTTTAAAAATTTGAGTTCAAATAAATGATTCAATTAAAACATATAAATATTTAATTAGATTAGGATCTTAGAATTAAGATTTCAAGAATAAATGAGGGTTTTTTTGATCTTAAGCAATAAGCCTATTTAATTGAAATGATTTTATTTAAGCTAATAAAGAAATTATTTTTCTATAATAATGTCAAGTTTAAGGCCATGTAACTAGTTTAATAAAGAGCTTTTGTTGCTAATAAATTAACTTACAGGTTTCTAAAGTAGGACATTAAATATTCAAAAAAATTAAAATATAATATATATATATATATATATATATTAAAAAATAAGTACAATTTTATTTATAAATCATTTGAAAGCTATTAAGCTATTACAATGTTGACAAGAACTCTTGCTTATCTAAATTGTCTATTGTTGTGTCTTTAAAATTTAGGTGAGTTATCTTGCATTCCAACCAAATGGTTGTGAGCACAAATTAGTCAACATAAACACAATCCTTGCTCAATGAAAAAATCTTGAATTCCGTTGCATGAAAATGTATTGAGTTCATGATTAACATATCTCAAATGAAAATGAAAAATGAAAAAAGGACATTGTTTGAATTCACCTGTCCACGAAATTTATAGTCGATATTAGAAGTTTTCAATCAATAGGAGCATTACATGCCGTAATCAAATTGTTGAATAATGAATAACAAATGCTGTTAATTCACAATCACAAAACTTGTCTACACATATGTAAAGCTTGTGTTTGTAAAGCATGGAAATGTTTTACACAGAAATTGCATTTAATATCTGCCTGGGTCATGAGCTGATACGTATAAGTTAATTTCCATTCTTTGTGAAAGCGTCTATTTGAATGTAAATCAACTATCTCGCTCTCGTGAGGTTCTTTAATTTATCCAAATGGTCATGCCACATGTCAAAGACCGCGGTAAAGTCTAACAATAAGACTCTCCAATCGATGGTCAAAATTGGCAATGCACATGTGTCATGGCTCTAGACACCCCCGTCATCATATGGCCATACAGTATTGGTTCACAAATAGGAAAATGCTGCATTTCCACTCAGACGGAAACATGTTCCAGTATGAGCTAATAATGGCAAACCCACCGGACGATTCCCTTACGATTTATATTTGAAGTGAAGAATCTAAAGTCTGCAGCTGTTCGTTGACAACCATACGGACCAATTGTCATAGTTCCCTAGGATTTTGAAAGTGGATTGTGACGTCTTCGAAGCTTCATGCGGATGGTCCGAACAAGCCAGCAGCCGAAGTAAACTCCAGGTCATCTCAAAAGGCTGTCAACGTTGAAAGAAACCAACAGGCGCCTGGAAAAGGAACAAAAGCCGCAAGAAAAAAGTCGCCAAGACTGCACTGTTCCTGTCGAAGTCCTACATCATTCAACGCTCTTCCCTGGCTTGTGGGCCACCACATTCACTCTGCACACTCCCCTCATCTAGAAAGCGATGCTGAATGAAGCTGCACAACAGAGAACTTCTCTGTGCACTCAACGCATTCAGGAAGTGTAGCAGATAGAGCAACAAACTTGTGAGCTAACAGATTCAGAGCGAGACGTCTGCTCAACTCGGGCCACCTTCTCGCCGGCACATTGTGCGTTGCATATAAGCCCCCTGATTTTGGCAGGTTAAGAGATCCTAGGCAGTGGCTGCAGGGCCAGTTCACCGGAACAAATTGAACGCTCATTGTCCGGCCGCTTCGAGACAACCCCGAGTGAGCAGCTCGGACTCAACATCCATTCCGAACCCAAACGTGCCCATGGCACCAAGCGGAGAAGTCGACGTTCAGGGTGCTGCCACAAGGAGCGCGCTTCCCAGAGGCCAGCCTCGCGCTGAGGGACCAGCATGTGTGTTGGGCGTCGGCACTGCGGTGCCTCCCGCGGAGTTCCTGCAGAGCGAGTACCCCGACTTCTTCTTCAACATCACCAACTGCGGCGAGAAGGACGCCCTGAAGGCCAAATTCAAGCGCATCTGTAAGTCCACCTCCACCGTGTGACTCTCTTCGCGGCTCGTGATGTGCTCACTGTTCCCTGTGGGCCGGCCCTCACCCCCAGCCGCGCTCGACGACGTGCTCATTGCACGGGCTGCGCGGCGCGAGCGCATTAGAATTGCGACTTGTGATTTGTTGCGGGCGTCGAGATGGGAATGCGGCGGTCGCGATGTTCCTGAAATTGGGTCGATTCCGGCCCCTTACGACGGCAGCTGACGCTTGGCCATGAATGTCGATGCAGGTGACAAGTCGGGGATCCGCAAGCGCCACATGTTCCTCACGGAGGAGGTGCTCAAGGCCAACCCCGGCATCTGCACGTACATGGAGCCCTCCCTGAACGTCCGCCACGACATCGTCGTCGTCCAGGTCCCCAAGCTCGCCGCGGAGGCAGCCCAGAGGGCCATCAAGGAGTGGGGCGCCCGCAAGTCTGACATCACCCACATCGT